GGCCAGGAGCGGCCACTGCACTCCAGTCTGGGCGACAGAGTGAGACTCCAACTCAAAAAATAAATTAATTAATTAAATAAAATAAAACACAAATATAGAAAATCATGCAGGCTGGGCATGGTGGCTCATGCCTATAATCCCAAAGCTTGGGGAGGCTGAGATGGAAGGATCACTTGAGAGTTGAGGCCAGGAATCAGAAAATAGCCTGGGCAGTGTAAGGAGACCCTCCTACCTTGACACAAACAAAACTTTAAGATTTTTTTTTTGAGTTGGAGTCTCACTCTTGTCTCCCAGGCTGGAGTGCAGTGGCGTGCTCCCGGCCACCGCAGCCTCAACCTACCAGGCTTAGGTGAGCCTTCCACCTCAGCCTTCCAAGTAGCTGGAACTACAGACACACACCACCACGCCCAGCTGGTTTTTTATGATTTATTGTAGAGACAAGGTCTCACCAAGTTGTCCAGACTGGTCTCTAACCCCGGGTCAGGTAGTCCTCTCACCTCGGCCTCCCAAAGTGCTGGGATGACAGACTGAACCACTGTGCCTGGCCAGAAATTTAAAAATTAACTGGGCTTGGTGACATGCACCTGCAGTCGCAGCCACTCAGGACACTGAGGTGGGAGGATTGCTTTTGCCGAGAAAGTCGAGGCTGCAGTGAACTACAGTCATGCCAGTGCACTCTAGCCTGGGCTGCTGAGTGAGACTCTAACTCAAAAAAAAAGTATTGTTCAAATGTGTATCCCGACACCCTGTGGTTCTTTTATTTGACGTGTCTTTTCGCCAGTTAGTCCCATCCATCCCTTTCTATTCCTTGTGGTTTATTTCCGAGGAACTCAGGTTGGGCTCGCAGTGTTTCTCATGATCTGGGTTCTCCTGGTCGGACTCTCGTGGGCCTTTTCTCTACGTGGGCCTGCACACGGGCAGCTGCAGCCAGTGCTCCGTCAGACTGAGTTGTGGTTTCCATCACAGAGTATCTGCCTGTCTCTCTCTTTTGTGTCCTAAGCCTCCAAATGCTTGACGGCTGTGCTGTTAGTTCATTGAGGGTCGCAAAACACCGATGTCCCAATTCTGTCATTTCGTTTTTATGTGTTAGTTTGAATACTTTTTTAAAGAGGCATTTCCCTCATCCATTTTTAGTTACCTGGTAGTTGAGTTCATATGGAAGAGACAGGATAAATTCTTGATTCCCTTAACTTACTAGTTTTCAGGATAATGAATTGTTCCTTATTACTCTTCAAAGGTGACCCATTCTTCTCATTAATTTAAAGGATATTGACTCCCAAGGAACTGCACAAAGAAAAGGAATAAAACTTATTCTTCTCTTAGATGCCCGCCCTGGTAATTGACCCACTCCCACAATAAGGACGTGAGTCCATTCATGGAGGCAGTGTCCTCATGCCCTAACTACCCTTTCTTTCTCTCTCTCTCTCTCTTTCTTTTTTTTTTTTTTTTTAGAGTTGGAGTCTCACTCTGTTGCCCAGGCTGGAGTGCAGTGGCCTGCTCCCAGCCACCACAGCCTCGACCTGCTGGGCTCTGGCGATTTTTCTACCTCAGCCTTCCAAGTAGCCAGAACTACAGGTGTGCCCTATCGTGCCCGGCTAATTTTTTATTTATTGTAGAGGTGAGGTCTCGCCAAGATGCCTAGGTGGGTCTTGAACCTGCAGCCTCAGGCAATCTACTCACGCCAGCCTCCCAAAGTGCTAGGATTACAGGCTGAGCCACCGAACCCAGCCTGAGCCACCGAGCCCAGCCCCTAACCACTTTTTCAAGGTCCCACCTCTCCACACTGTTTCATTGGAGATTGTGTTTCCAACACATGAACTTGGAGGGACACATTCTCACCAGAGCAGTGGCACACCAGTCCTTTTTGTCTCAGTTAGAGCGCTCAGAGCATGAACCGTCGGTGCATGTCAGAGGGCTTCCCTGTTCCTTGTGTTGTCCCAGCAAAGAGCTAGATTGATTGGCAGAGCACTCGGCTTGGTTCCCAGGCCCCTTGCTCTTTACACTTCCAGGTGGCCTCGCCTTCCCTTCTTTTCAGAGTTTCTGTGGTCTGGATGGCTCTTGTGCTTCGTTCTCATTGTTGAGTGTCTTTTTCTTGCCTTCAGTCAACTTTTAAAAAGCATATGCTATGGCCACATAGTTAAGGCATCCAAAAGCATGAGAAGATGCCTACGGAGCAGATGGTTCTGCCCTCCTCTCTGTTTGCTGGGTCTTCCCCCCCTGCCCCCAAGTGGTGTCCCATATGCCACTGTTCAGTGTTTCAGGTCCATATACCAGCATGAACTTTTCTTTTTTGGTAAATGCACAAATGATTTTTTTTTTTTTTTTTTTACTGCTATATAATAGCCTATTATGTGGATGGATGTACCATAATTTATTGAGCAGCATTGAATTGGTAGATGTTTCCATAGTTTCTTATCTTTCACTAGTAATAACAGGGCTGCAGTGGCTACATTCCTCACTGCAAAAGTATAAATTCCTGGAAATACTGCTGCTGAGTCAAGGGCATACCTTTGTAAGGAGGTTAGAGTTTGTCTAATTATAGTTGTGTCAACTTACACTGCCAGCAGGAAGTGTCTGTTTCTTCATACATTCATAAATTCAGTGTGTTATCAAACTTGGGTTTTTGAATTGGAGTCTCACTCTGTCGCCCATGCTAGAGTGCAGTGGCACACTCACGGCCACTGCAGCCTCAACCTGCTGGGCTCAGGTGATCCTTCCACCTTAGCCTTCCTTCCAAGTAGCTGGAACTACAGGTACACACCACCACGCTCAGCTAATTTTTTTATTTATGGTACAGATGAGGTCTTGCCAAGTTGCCGAGGCTGGTCTCAAACTCTTGGACTCAGGCAATCCTCTAGCTTCTGCCTCCCAGAGTGCAGGGATGACGGGTGTGAGCCACTGCACCCAACTTATTTTTTTCTTTCGACTTTGCTTTATTTTACTCAAATTTCACTGTACTGCCATGAGTTGCATAAAGACATCTCCGTCCACACAGAGCACATGTGCAGCAGTGGTACCATAAGACCTGATGCCATGTCTGTCCCATGCCTTCTCGATATTTATGTGCACAGATCCCGTTATGTTACTTTTGCCTCCAGGATTCAGGGCAGTCACATGCTGTGCAGCTGGGAGCCCAGGTGTGTGTGGCTGAACAAGCTAGGTTTGTGCCCGCTGATGTTTGCACAAGGATAAGACTGCCTCAGGAGGCGTTTCTTAGAGCATATCCCTTTGTTAGGCAATGCGTGACTGAGAAGTATATTGTGAGATTTTAATAGGTGACTGTTTTTCCTTGATAATGTTTAGTTCTTGTTAGTTCATCCTGAGAAAGGGATTTGGGGTGAATGTTGTCTATTGTGCTTGAATTTATATTATTCCCTGGGTACAGTCATAAGACTTGGAAGTTCAAATGTTGAGGCAGATGACAGATTTCAAAACTTTGGCGATAAAGTCCTCAGTCAAATGTTGACATCCCTTTCTTTGTTCCTCTCAAAAGTTGTGGTAAATATATACAACATGAACTGGGCACGGTGGCTCACACCTATAATCCCAACACTTAGGGAGGCAGAGGTAGGAGGATGGTCTGATCCCAAGAGTTCAAGATCAGCCTGGACAACGTGGGGAGACCTCGTCTCTCCAATAAATTAGCCAGACATGGCGGCATGTGCCTATAGTCCCAGCTACTTGGAAAGCTGAGGCGGAAGAATCACCTGAGCCCAGCATTTCATAGCTGCAGTAGCCGTGATCTCTAGCCTGGGCGACAGAATGAGACTCTGACTAAAAAAAAAAAAAATGTACACACACCATGAAATTTACTGTTTTAACCTTTTTTTTTTAGTT